CCAATAAACTTAATGAATAAAAACAAAACAAACAAAATAACAAAAAAAAAATTACTTTTAGAAAAACAGAGATAGTTGATGTATACAGAAGAAATGCTAAAAAAAATACAACTTAGTTATAATCAAAGCATTCATCAGCAATCAATGGTAACACTTTACTCTGATTTTCAGATGTTTTACACTTTCACTTTTTGCTTACAAAAATAGAAAGGTACTCAGTTAAGTTTACTGAGCTCTTATTGTGAACCAACTAATCAGGTATTTGAGATGTATCAGCTAATTCAGTATACAAAAATTCTACCCCTATAGATTTACACTCTTGCTGTTTTTGAAATTTGTTTTTGTTTTGCTGTATGCATTTTCTAAGCCATTAAATATATTATGAATGTACATTGATAATGTAGATAAAGGCGCTATGATGTTCTATCCTGTTTATATTTAAAGTCATGGGTTTTATTTGCTTTTGTACAGCAAAAAAAGTAAAGAACATCACAAAGTCAGAAAAAAAATAGGAAGTATTTACCTCTGAGTAAATAGTTATAAATACTGCAAGGGCTTTTAAGAAAACAAAACAAAACAAATTGAAAGAGACAAAAAGAAGCTGCAGCCTTCAGATGAAATGGAAGAGGAACAGAGTGTAATTACAGAAAATGAAGAAATATCCCAAAGAATATCTTGTCCATATTTGGGTATTAGTCATGATGCTTATTATCATGATTGCCATCAATACAATAATAATAAAGTAGTACTAATGATACAATAACTAACAGTTACTAAGTACCCATTTTGTGTCAATCAGTTTTAAGTGGTATATATCTATCAACCTATTTAAATCTGATAATAAAATTCAGGAGTGGTATTTTGTACATATGAAAAAATAGAGATATAAGGCCAAAGGTATTTTCTGAAGTTACAGAGCTAGCAAATTGTGAAGTGATATTCCAAACTCAAGGCATCTGTTTCTAGAGTGTTTGCTAATAATCAGTTTGTTATAGTTAACAGACTGTACCCTTTTTATGCTCACAGTACAAACCTTGTTTATGTGGACAGCCAGGAAAATGGTTCCCTAGACATTATTACCATTATAGGGACTACAGATGGAAGTGCCTGTTTCTAGAGAAAGTTCCCTTTCCAGGAAAAGGAATCCTGCAGTCTTTCTGCAAATCTGGCTGGACCTGTTACTTGTGAAGCAACATCTCTCCGCTGGCTGTTACAGAGGATTTCTTCCTGCTGAATCCACATGCTCCTTTAAGAGGTAACTGGAAGCTGTAGACTTCAACTGCTTTCAAAAAGAAAAAAAAAAAAGAATGTGCACAACATGTGGAGGTGGATCTCAGCAGGTTCACAGATGGGGGGCCCTTAGAAGGAGAATCCTCTAGGAACCACGTGTCAGTTTTTAGTTGTAGAAATCATCTTGGGTTTTTAAAATATGGCTGACTCCTCTTCTCCTTCTAACCGAATACTAATTCTGGGATCTAAATTTACCTACACTTAAGTAGTTCAAATGCAGGTAACAGAAGGCGATATACCTGAAAGCTGCTTCAGAAGCCTGTGAAAAAGCCCATGGTTTCATTATCTCTCCATAAATGCTCCATTGTCAAAGGTGGTTTAAAATCCTGTCTTTTGGCTCAGCAAAAGAGAGAGCAACTCAGATGAGGAATGAAGGGGGCATTTCCAAGCCAGAGTGACAAAAGCCCACTTAATAAAATGAAGAAAAATAAATTTCACTAGGGCTTCCAGAAGGGCTTCCACAGGACTTCTCCAGCCTTGGTCGTCGGTGGGCCCATGAGTCTGTGTTCTCACAACTGTCCTGTTACCCTGTTTGTGAAACATCACCTTGGTCTTCTGGGCACAGCCTAAACAGCAGGCGGGCTGACAGATGCCTTGGTAGCCTCATCGGGAAAAGAGTGAGCACACGTCCTTATCCATGGGGTCTCTCTGGCCTCAGTGTCATCTGGGAGAAACCCAACTCCCTGGCCTCTCAGATGGCAGGCAGACGGCCTATGTTGGTGACACTGCCCCAGCCAGTCCTCGGGAGCATGGAGGCAGGAAAGGGGTGGTAAGGCTGTGCCAGAGGACAGGCTGACCCGGGCTTGCTGTGCATGCCAAGGGTCTTCCTCATGATCCTGTTCAACTGATTACAGATCTCTTTCCAAGAAACTTCAAAGAAACCCATACCTAACTCAAATCTCCGCCCTGCTACCCTGCTACTTGTTTTAGAGGTAATGGAAGCAGCCTCCCCTTCACTAGTGACACCTACTCCCCAGGGTGCCACAAGGATTCCATTAAATTATGTGCCCGTGTGCTGCCATGGGGCCCTCCTCAAAAGAGATGCTCATTTTATTACTGTAGTTGAAAGGTGGCCTCTGTTGTAAGGTAGGCTGCCTGGCTTACCGAACAGCTCTTCAGTAAGTTTCACCCCTCAGCTCCTTGCCCCACTGCAACTCCAGCCCACGTCAGGAATAGCAAAAACAAAAGGGTAAGGGCTAACTCCATTGTGAAGGCGTCTCCTTTTAAGACAGCATTTGCATCAGCAGGCAGTGTGCTCAGCACTGTTATGGCGCCGTCTCTGGCTGGACATCAGCAGGGCATGCGTCAGCACTAAATTTGATTTCTCCATGGGAGTCATGGCTCACGAGCACCAGCATGCGGAACTGTATTGCTTTAGGTTTTCCAGGTGGTCTTCTGCCCCTCAACAACACTCCTTATGATTAGTGCAACAGTTGTTCACACTCTAGATTCCCGTAACTTTACTAGACGTCATCTGCCTAATACTAGTAGAAGGCAGACGAAGGGACTCTACTGCCTTCCCCCTCCTACACCCACTTTCCTAACACAATTTATCTCATCCTGCAAATGCATCAAAGCCCTAACACATGTTAGATACATGGGTGGGCAGGCACGTCACCTTGCAGTAAGCCTTATCAGGAACTGTAACTGTGAGGTCACCTTTTAAGGCTGATACACAACTCATGAATCAACCTAGATGAAGCCACTTGCTGAAAGGCCAGTGCACATGATTTGCACAGGTTGTCCTGGAACTCAGAGGCCTATGCCCAATCTCTGCACTTCCCCCACTGTGGTGGCTGTTTATAGGAGGGGGCAGGATTCATCCAAAACACACTATGAAAACAGCTGTGTCCCTGTACTCAGCCCATGGCAAATCAAACAACAAAAACCCTGAGCATGGCCCAGTATCAGTAGATTGCTGTGCTTTAAATTTCACCCTCTCCCTTCAACAAGCATCATGTGTGTAAATCACTGCTCAGGCAGCTGTTCCTCCATTTCATCTCCCATGAAATATGAGTGATCTCTTAGGCCTATGATCAGCAATCTGACAAAATTCTTCAAATATGCACCATTTTGAAAAGGGAAGAGGCACCTTACTGATCTACAGTGGCTCAAAAACATTCAGGAGATCTGTGGAAATCTTTTACGTACATGCAAAAGTTCCTGGAGAGTGTCCTTCAGCACATTCACAGCCTTTTATCCTACCTACATTTGAAACGAGGCTCTATGTTTTCATTGTAAGCCACGTGCACTAAAGTTTCACCTTTGTTTCTTGCCAGCTGTTCGGCGACTCTGTTTAAAGAGAGCAGAGCCTGGCCTCAGGGATGACCATTGCAAATGCGGGAGTTTAGTTTGACTACAAAACTGCAGTTCGGCCTGTGGCTCCATGGGAGATGCAGGTGCACTGCATGCTTTCTGGGAATACAGCATAGCAAATCAAGGCACACATTGAGATGGGGCAAGTAATTTGCATAGATGCATTATAGATATAAAGAGAAATGTCAGTTTGGGCCATGTAGCTGAAGGTGTCTGTGGCAGATTTGCTTTCAGGTCTTTTTCTGAAATATGCATTTGAGAAATAAGTCAGGCTAAGAGGAAGCAACAACATCCATGATGGGCCTTAAATGTGCAAGTAGGGAGAATTGTATTTTCATGGTATGCTCTAGGCAGCTTTCCCATTGCTGGACAAAATACCTGACACGTGCACCTTAAAGGACAGGAGATGTATTTGGGTTCACAGTTTCTGAGGTTTCAGTCCACAGCAGTCTCCAAAGCAGACACGACGCACAGAGCTGCTACTCCATGTGGCGAAGCCCAACCAACCTCCAAGGCTGCTTGACAAAGTTCCAGCTGGGGGAAAGAAAGGAGGGAACACATCGTACCCTCATGTTTTATTTTTTCTTGCCATAATGTTTATAATTGTTACTCCGATCACAGGAGTCATTGTGTTTGTGACTAACAACAAACTCTCCATGAAGCACATTGGCAATGATATATTGAAATCTGATCTGGCTCACAAGTCTCAAATTCCAGTTTCTCTTCGTTCTATTGCCACAGCCACTCCTAAAGAAACCTCTCCTAAAACCCCCTCTGTTTCCCCCACTACTATGACTCCCCCTCTTATTGTTGACATTCTTTTTACTAAAAGGGTCTTACGAAGAGATTGAAAGGACAGACTTTAGATGTAAGAAATAGTGGAAAATGGGAAATAGAACGTTAAGACAGGTAAATGCATTAAGGAGACAAGTTGCTCAATATTTCTCAAAGTGCTGTAAATATCTCCTGCTCATGGACTATGAACCTAAATGACATTTAGTTAAGATGAATAGAGGTATAGAAAAATAGAGAGCTAATAGCAAACTATATTAACCATTGTGCAGTTTCTCAAGGGCCAGCTGGTGACCACAAGTTTGACACTTAGTTGATTCAATCTTGCTTGTACCCCCGCTGATAGAAAGATTTTGATTAAGTTACTTTCTGTTCTGTTTAGGTGTGGGTAAAAAAGGGGACAACTGTAATTTTTAAATATGTATTCGTGATGTTCAATGAAATGAAACAGCTTAGAGGAATTGTACTTTGTTTAACAAAAAATAACCTTTACTTCAATAGAAATTGCTAAGGCAACTTAACATGTAAACATGTTCCGCCAAAGCCTCCCAGCTATTGCTTAAAGATATAAAAATAAATCAGACCCTGAGACTTCTCAGAGGGAACCCGAACATTGCTTAAGAAGGTTATTTTCTCATCGCCGGCCCAGGACATCTCCCCTTCCTACCCTACATCGACATCGACTGCAGCTGGTCTGCGGCATCCCTGGTGGCTGGAAAGCAGAGCAGAGGGAAGAGTAGCAGAGAGAGCGGGCCTGGGCCAGGTGAGTCCCCGGGGCTGCGCCTCCCGACCACCCAGACTCACCCAGAAGTGTGCTTTGCACGCCTGTGAAGCCAGTGTCAATCACAACCGACACTGCCTCCCTCGTGGACAGCACTGTTGTTCTCACCTAGCTCTTCCATGTCTCCAAAGGCATGATAAATACCTAGCTTCATGTCTTACTGATTGAGAAATCTTAACCTTTCTCTTCCTTGCTTGTGTGATTATTTGCTCACATGTGCCCCCCTTTAAAATTTCTCTGTGCTATACACACTCAATTCAAGCACAGCCTGGCATGACCCTGAGCCTGCACAGCCACCCCAGTGTGAAGGCCCCATCTCCTCTGGGGCTCTGGCCCTCAGCCCCCCAAGGACACATCTTTGGCCCCTCCTGTGTAACCCAGGCTTCTACATCAACTCCTGGGGCAGGTTAGGTGCTCAGGAAATAGCTGCAGAATTAAATTCCAATGAGCTACTGTTTATAAAACTCTCAGCATCCTTACTGGAACAAAGTTATTATTGCTTAACTGTTTGTGATCATTAATATCATAAATAAAACACTCTGTGTATTTTTATCCTTAATTCTATGATTTTGAGTTCTTTTAAGAAAAGTGTGAGTAATTTCCAGAATCAGTAATTCATGATCTTTTCTAGAAAGTGTAAATTAATTTCCAAAAGAAGTTTAATTTTTATTTTCAGCTTATGCATTTTAAAGGCCAAATTTACATGTGTGCCAGCACAGAGATGATATAAAACAAACTATTAAGCTTTATGTGCTATTGAAAATATCGGTGCCTGCATTTTAAAGACTTTCAGATTTCTGCAATTTAAATAAATATATATATATGTATTTCAATGATATAAAAAAATCATATGAAACACAAGGTTAGCTCACTCTCAAGTCAAGAGCATGCATCGCGGTGGCATCTGTTTATCCGGAAGTTTACTTTGGAGATGCAAGATGCTCAGCACTTTCAGGCTGAAGAGATTAATATACTTGGTGAGATGTGGCTGGGGTTTCAGAGATGTTGGTGACCTTATGTCACTCAAGAGCAGAGAGCAGAGAGGAAGAACATCTGAGATTCCATCATAAGCCTGCCTGCCTTCCTATCATATATGCTTTTCTCTTCTGCAGGAAGAAAATGCTATGTTGCACTTGCCTTTTTCACTAGGACAGAAGCCTGATCATAAAAGGAAAAATCTAAGTTTGCTAAAGAAAGCTAATTCTATTAAAAGTACAAAAAGCCAAGTGAAAAGATCTTAGACAAATGATCTCAAAACCCTATTTCCACAGCCAGTTGGAAATAAAATCACATTTTCTGGTTAACACTGAAATACATTAACTCCCAAGGTTTCGATTTTCCTAATGACCTTATGTTAAATAAGTCACACAGAATAGGAATAATAATAGGAAGACACTAAAGATGAAGAGGAGAGTGTGAGAACAGTGTAATTACTGCTGGCGCTAACGAATGAAGTATGACAAGTGTGTGGTGTGTTGAAATCATTCCCTTCTCACAGAGAAATGGAGCTTCCACAGCCAGGATTAGCCTGTGCCCAAACTCCCCTGAAATTCAAGGGAGATGAACACTTCAGACAGAGCTTAAAAGGGCTCTGATTCTAAAGTCTACATTAAAGCCTACACGGCATGCATAGGCTTTGGTGTGGAATCAACACAGACTGAAATTATGTTCTTTCCTCAGCCCTCTCACGACCTTAGCTAACTTAGTCATTATGTTTGACCCCCAGTTTCTTGTTTTATGCAATAAAATGGATAATCACACCCTCACAAATCACAGTGGAAATAAGGACTAAAATGTATAATAGATATTGGGAAATTTGAAGAAAATGTCCAAATGGGAAAGGGAACAAGGTAGTGGGGAGGGAGAAAGGAAGGAAGGGACAAGAGAAAAATAAAAATGGAAGGAAAAAATGGAAACAGAGCTTTTGTATATAGGGAGGGGAGGGAGATTTTGGGGAGGGGGAAATGTGGAAAAAGACAAGTGGGATATATCCTGTATAGGTGCAAATTCCCTATGATGAAAACTATCATCGTGCATATCTAAAAAGTACCAATAAATAGTTTGCTAAAATAAAGACTAAGACTAAGACAATGACAAATCTAAAACTATAGATTACTGACCAAAGTGAATGATGTCATCCATGTACACTTGCTATGTGACTTGCTTCCCCACTGCATCACTATTACCTAGGCGACTATACTTGTAATCATATTGGGTGTAGTTTTGTCCCACCTTGTACCCACCCCTTGATTTTGCTCTGTAAAAGCTTCCCCTAAGTAGAGTCCCTGGCAACCCACTTTCGGGGTCCCCTCCTGTCTCCCAGGAGCTGTCTCCCTTAATAAAATTTCCCACTCTTAAAAAAAAATTCTGAAAATTAAAAAGGTGAGTATATGGCATTTTATGAGGCACTGACCTAGTGTGAACGCCAAAGTTGTATCGGTACATTAGGTCTAAAACTAGCTGAAGGCAAACACATGCATGTCGCATGCCAGGCACTGGTTCACTTTGATAAATGCAGCTTTGACGCCTGTCACAGTGATGTGAGTCAGGGACTGAAGATAACTCTCTTCAGCTTGTATCTCCCTGAATAGCACCACCAAGGCTAAACAGCCTGGGGGTGAAAAGCTGAAATGTTCAAATGGCCTTCAGCATAAACATATGAAGGAGAGAGATTAAAACTTGTCACTTACCTAAAAAGGATTGTACCAGGTTCAGTTAGTGAATGCAGGTTAGGATTTTGGAACTCAATAGGGAAAAGAATAACACATACACCACATACACATGTACACATAGCCCAAACCACTAAGCCCTCAAAATTATCGAAAAGAATTAGATCACAGCACACAGACAGGTGGCAGAGATGAAACCCATTCTTTTAAGAAATGATCTGCACTCATCATGTTTTAGGCAACGAGATTCTCCATTTGGTCCAGATCTTGCAGGAGATCCATCCAGACAGCTTGTCCTGGATGAGCCTGCACTTATTAGTGATTGGATTGAAACACTGGCTCTCAGGTTTGGGGAATTCCTCTCAACCTATGCACAATGAACACATGATATGCACATGGCTTCCCCTTGAGTACAGCAAAGGACACAAGAAGAAAGGAGGCAAGGGAAACATCTGAAATTCCTGAAGAGTTAGATGGGCAGCTTCAAACTCCCACTCACTCACACCTTCAATGTAGGTGTCAATGTCCTCTTGAGTGTTCTCAGGCACAGCATTTAGACACAGAGTGGGGGATGAATAACACTGTGCTCCCTTCTTCCTTGGGGTAGGAAATCCAGGTGGAAGGTCCCAGGTTTCTGATTTTGTCTTCAGACTTGGGATTAATTAAGAAATAGAAGACTTTTGGAGGAGAGAGCCCTCTAGACAGCAAACTTGGTCCCAAAGCTTAATTTGCTCCCCATTACATACTCCAGTGATAACCTCAGCAGACCACTGACAGCACCCATCCAAAACGCAGCCCACACTCAGTCTGCTGAGTACACACACACACACACACACACACACACACACTCACACTATAGATTTCAGGCATTTCTTAGTGACTGAGAATTTGGTTTGGCAAAGGAGCACTTCTTTCCTCACTCATTCAGCCCCAAATCTTTCAAGACAAAGGAAAAGACAATGTTCAGCTTTGTGTACCAGTATATTTCTAGAGCAAAAGAACTTTTCTTCACTGTACCTACACACTGGAAGTGTTTCAAGCCAAAAGCTCCAGTTTACTTAAAAAGGTAAAAAATATGCTGTAAATTAAAGTGTAAAGGGGATGAATAATTTTATAGTTTGTAACGTTAACTTTTCACATTTAAGATGTGATTGTTAAGGTAGGGAGGGGACCACTGCATTTATTTCACTAAACTTGTACAAGGACAGAAAGGAGAAGCTGAGTCCTGAATATCAGGGACACGGGGCATGTGGACATTCTCAGAACAAGACTAACGCAATTGGCCTAATACCGAGGGATTTCCCAAGGAGCAATTATTTGTGTTAGAACGTTCATTTTCAGAAGCGAACAGTGAGCATAAGTAAAGTCCGCATCCCTGAAAGGCTTTCTGACAATCACGTCACAAATGAAGCTGTGGGCAACCCGCAGATTTCAGAGCAATCTCTCCATTTTTCTACTTATTCACGCATGTGTTTTATTTTTACCCATCTTCTTGAGTCTGACTTTCTTACCCTTGCTCTGTGGGAACCCAGAAAATGTTCACACACTTTTTACATAGTTTTTAATCGTCAAAACCAAAGCTGTTTCTTCATTGCTCATTGTTACTTAGTTAACAGGTGCAGTTTTAATTTTTGACCCCAAATCCCCATCTTCCATCCCTGCTAGGTTCCCTGCGTCTGTCTAGCAAAAGCCCGCGGAGCCCTTCTCCCCAGCGCGGGACCCCTGTGACCTGTGTCCTTGCTTTTCCACGAGAAATGCACGTCTCTCTGTGCTGTTTCCAGGACTTCTTATAACGGGAAAGGGTAATTCAGAAGCTAGGAAGCCTCAGACTGGAACACGCACACACACACACACATGCGCACACAAGCGCGCGCACACACACACGCACACACGCAGAGCAGCGGGTGGTGCACCCTCCCTGTAACCCATCCGAGTCCAGCGCTGGAGCCCGGACTACACCGAAAGGCAGCGTCGGCATTGCGCACCAGGCCTGGCCCCACAGTCCCTGCCAGTTAACAGTTTAGATTTGCGTGAGCCTCGGGCAGGAGGTTGGCCCCGAGAAGGCACTGGGGAGGCATCAGCGCCAGCCTCGCCCTTCACCGCGCTCCAGGCTCCGGTATCCCCGCTCTAGCAGGCTGCGGGGCCGCGCAGGGGTGCAGCAGGCGAGCGGAGGTCCGGAGTCACCGTCCGGATCCTGACACCCTGGGGCCGCCCGGTGCGCGCCCTCTGTTCGCCTCTGCAGGTTGGCGCTGCACACCCCAGGCACCTGCCGGGCTTCTGGCCCGGAGACCCGGGGCCCGCGGCGCGGCGGTC